AAACACATCTCCTTACATGAGAAAAGTGCTGTGAACATATGAATCCTAGTGCATTCAGACTGTCATCGATTGACCCTGACGCTTCTATAGAGGTGAACACATGCGCTACTGAACCGCCTCACAAAGAAAGCCTGCTTTGAAAGCAGGGGTGAAGTGACCAAGTTCAGAACAATTCTTAAATGGCTGGTCTGTTGAAATAAACCGACCAGTGGTCATAGTTTTTTTTTGTTTTAACTAGGGCTGAAAAAATTATCGGATTAAGTCAAAAAAGGTTTATTGAAATAATTGTCAACTAATTTAGTAATCGATTAATCATTAACTGGACTTTAGAAACTAAAATATACCTTTAGCTGACAGAGTGACCCACCTTGAGCATCAATTATAACAATATTGCCAAAATAAAAATAATAATATGTGCACATTTTGCATTTAAGGTACAAAAAAAATACTTTTTCATCTCTGAATAGGCTCTATCCAGAACTGCTGAAGTGGAAAATTTTTTGTTTTACCTGGTTTAATTTCATAAAAAGTCTTCCTTAAAGAACATTTTGCTACCAGATTATTAATCGATTAATTGAAAAAAATAATCGACAGACTAATCGATTTGCAAAATAATCATTAGTTACAGCCCTAGTTTTAAAAAATAAAACGCATAATTGCTAAACCACGTACTGGTTTAGCAATTATGCTGGGGCTGCAGGTAGATCAGAGTTAAGTTTCTGGAACAATCTGGTAGTTTGCATGTTAAGGGGAGATATAAGTGCCACTTCTGACATGGCAAAATGAACAGAAGAGAAAGGGGTGGGCCTTATTAAAATTAGCAAAGAGACAAAAAAAGAAAGTATGTAGCATTAAAAAAATAAAATCCCTCCCCTGGCGCTTAAAATAAAATAAAAAAAACCTGGAGAGAACTTTGTATTATAACTGAATAAACGACAAAATATTCAGACAGAAAGTCTGTTTACATTTTATTACACTGTTTACATTTTGATCACTGCTGCACTTTATAAATTTAAATGTTTATTTCACTGCTAAGCTGTTCATTCACTGTTGAAAAAGCTGTATGCATCGCAATTTTGTTTAGTAAGCACTCTGTGTGTACAAAATGAGAATAAAGTTTGCCTAAGTTTGCCCTAATGCAGGGCATTCTTGAAAGTTCATTTATTCACCTTTTTCTTTGACTTGACTATCCCTCTCCTTTCGTCGTTTCTCGCGTGCCGAGGATGTTGAACGAAGTAAAGATGGGAGCTCATCCTAAAAAACAGATACTATTTCAAATCACAGATTTAAATCTGCAGCTTAATCAGTGAAAATGTTTACGGCTGAGTTCTTATAGACGTTCAAAGTATGGAAATTTTCCTTCTTAACATCTCTACCCTGCTTTCCGAGTTGGCAGAGGCTCTAACCTCCTGTGTGCTTTGATCTTGTGGCTGGTTATCAACAGAGATGTCCGGGATCAGCTCCTTCCTCAGAGCCATCCTGCTCTGCTGTCGAGTCACTGTGTCAAGAGAGGAAAATCAACTTTATGTAGTCAGCACATGTTTTCTGTTTAAACATAACATTTTGTAAAATTACGAAACGTGACGTGAAATTTGAAAATGTGTCAAGTAAGATAATCACAGCTTCTGGCAGCATGCTACTTCACATTAATTATATTTAAAATAAAAAATAAGACCTGCTTTTCCCACAAGTCCATTTCTTTACAGAAATGAATATAAAAAATATCATACTATTGTAAGTTTGAGCCTTTAAAAAAATGTGTTTATATGAAATTGTTATTTATTAGTGAAGTGGCCTATAACTTCTTTGTGTGTCAATATGTGTCCTGTATTTATTGAGATTTTTGTGTAACTATGTGGAAAAGCCTGTTAATGGGGCCCTTGTTAAAGAAGCCATTAGTTTGGACAAATTGTCAAGTTGTTCTATTCCACCTGATGATGACGATGAAGAGTGTCCTCTTCTTCCTCTCATGTAAGTGTGGGATCATCCAGCCTGGAGCACCAACTGACAGGGGAGGCCCAGAAACCTCAACCCGGATAAATTAATATCTAAAAGCGTTATACTGTAAAACAAAAGTAAGCACTGAACGGTAACTGACAGCGCGCGAGGACAGGGGCTGACATGACAACAAACTGAACATACAAGACAATAAATATCAGCAACTAAAGTTCGTTTTCTCTAGATTATATTAAGATAACTATCAAGTTAAAGTCCGAAATAACGTATTACTGTTTTTATTTTGAACAAACAGCACCGAAAAGAAATGCAAAGTACAGCAATTTTAGTTTAAAAACACTCACAGTAGATTTTTCCTCACTTTCGCGGCGCCATGTTTGTTTCGCTCCACGCTACCACGTGACCAGTACGTCAGACGTCAGTTACGCTTCCGTCGAAAGTCTAGTTTCAGTATTTGCTGCCCAAAATTAAAAAAAATATCATTTAAAATAATTCATAAGTTTTACCCGTCTAATGATCATATTGTCAAAAAATTTTAAAAAGACATTGATATACTGTGCACTTTTTGTTCCACGAGTGTTGAAACAGTAACCCATTTGTTTTGGCATTGCTCTTTTGTCCAAAATCTCTGGTCTGACATTTGTAAGTTGATTGCAGAAAAAATTGAGAAAGACTTTAAGTTATTCTGGAAGGATGTCCTTTTTGGACTTTATGACCTCAACAGTACTAAGACTAGACCAAATGGAACTTTCATTATTAATCTGATTATTCTCTTGGCAAAATTCTACATTCATAAATGTAAGTTTACACATTCCAAAATATCATTTATTGCTTTTAACAATGAGGTCAAGCAATATGTCAACACGATTAAGTATTCTCTTAATCAAAAGACAACAAAAACTGTAAATGTGTGTAAACAATTTAATATCTTTTTGTAAATTGTACTTTCCCTGGCAAAATGTGAGGATTTTCATTTTTGTTTTTATTTTTTTGTTAAAAAACCAGAAATGTTGGATACTGCACAGTGTAATATTTTCTCAATGGAGACGAATGTTTGTATTTTTGTAAAGTGTGCAATTATTGAATAAAAAAAAAAAAAAAAAAAAAAATTTCAGTTTTTGTTATCAACAGCTGTCCTTCAAGTGAAATTAAATGGATCCAAACATTTTTGGGTGGCTTATGATAACCTTTCCCCTGTTGTCTTTTCGCGAAAAATATAAATTCGAGAGTTATTCCCAACAGATGTTTACACTTTTAAATATGTATGCAACTTTAAAGCGAATTTAAAAAGAGAATATATGATTATTGTTGAACCAGGGACGACTTTTTTCTAATGCAGTGGAATTGGAGAAAAGTAGTTGTCTCTAATTTATGTATAAATCAGCTCTCTCGTTTCTCCATATTGTTCTTCCACGTATTTTATACAAAAATATTTTAACAAAAAAAATCCCATGAAATCGGGAGAACTACGGGTACATGCAGTTACTGCACCCACGCTGTACAAAACGCTGTTTGTTAAGTTCTTAAAATGACCAAAGCATTAACAGTATCATGCTAGACATAGGCTACTAGATATCTCCAAAGCAGGGGCGGAGCTAGATGGGGGGTCAGGGGGGGCCATGGCCACCCTTAGCCAATCATTGGCCACCCCTGTGGCCACCCCTAACATTTATTTCCCTCTTATACAGATGGTGGCAAAACATTTTAATCTTTCATATATTAACAATTACTTGACAACAAAAACACTGTGGTTAATTCTGCACATCAATATACTAAAATTAAAGATGATAAATACAGAATTAATGCTCTTTTCAGAACTAGATTTTGATTATATAGGGTAAAGAGAAAATTATGTGTCTCTGCAAGTCATCTAGGAGTCTTAAGTGAAATCATAGATAAATAAAAATTTTATTAAAAACTTATTAAATGATCAACTTATGTAGATACCAGTATTTGTAAATATCAATCTTATGCAGAATAATTACTGATAAAAGTAGGTAAGTAATGACAATGGAAAAGATGTTTGCCCAAAACTTAAACCTTAAAGAATTTTATCCACTATACCTTTGTTTGAGCCAAATGCTTGATTTATGATAGAATATTTAATATTACTAGTTTACTATTTTTGTCTGATTTGATATGATATATATGAATATGAAATATTTTGGTTTGAAGTATAAGTTGACTTAATTGTGAAATAATGAATTTGTTTAGTTGTATTTTTGCTGCTGTGGATAATTTACGCTGTTTCTTACCTCCACCCCTTCATTATATACAGGTGACTGCAGCACCTGAAATATATTGGAGTAGGCTATTGGGGTCAGGTGAGCTCTTGCATTCAGGCACGCAGCCATACCGTTTTTGACGGCTATTGATTCTTGTTGTTTTTTTGAGTGGCATAAAAAGGAACAAAATGAGAAATATGATCTGCCTGTCACGTCATACTGCGGTAATAAATTCTAAGTTTGTTTTTATTTTGAAAAATAAAGCGTCTTGATCAAGAGGAAAGAAAGTTTGTTGGATTGCATGGTCACTTTAAAAAACATCTGACAGAGCTGAAGTGAGTCTAACTTGGATGCTTCTGAACCAACAGCCATGCGCATCTTTATTGGAAAGATTGTGCTAATGCCTTTTATTTAGAAAGCACAAATATTTCAATATATTCCTCTCTTTGTTAGCAAATGCTGTGGGAAAGTATAGTTTGTCTTTATTTAGAAAATATGGATGTTTTGCTCGTTATTTTCCTGTTGGAACAGTATAAATTGACTGTGAGGTTTTGGTGCCTATCTACATTCGGCCACCCCTAAGTGTACATTGGTTATTGCCTGGCCACCTTTATTTAAATTTCTGGCTACGCCTCTGCTCCAAAGGGCTCCACAGTCGTGTGATGTTGGCCAAGTCGATTTGTACCTATTTTCCTGTACTAACAGTGTTTGGGCAGTAGGTGACAGTCAGAGTATAAGGAATCCTGCTGTGCAAGTTCTCAGTCAGGACTGTTTATAAAAGCATTCTGATGCATATTTAGGGATCTATGTTAGCTAAGAAAGAATTGAACTTGTTTTGTGGTTGTATAAACTGACCCGTGACTAATCAACTGAATTAACCTACAAATATTTGTTAAGATAAGCAGAAACACATATATTTATACATCCATCTTTTTTATTTATTGTATAAATTGAACCTAACTTCCCATATCTAACTCTTCCAACTCACCTCCAAATTAAAAGTTACATAGAATCTGACAAAAAAACAACATTTCAATGCATGCTTACTGTGTATCGCTTGAAGTTTTATTTCAACAGAGATTTATTGTCTACTTTTTTTTTTACTTTTTTTTCACATTGAAAATCAAATTTCCTCTCGCTTTTGTGTTCTTCCTTTTTTAAACATTTTTCTTTTTTGTTTTCACTCTTTCACTTTTTTTAGTCTTGCAGTTTCAGCACCCACTGTTAAAAATACACTCTTATTATAATGTGCTCCTTTCTTTTGTATTTGTGTATTCTACTTTGTTACTACATACTGCAGAAACTATAAATCTAAAAATTCTTATTTTATTTTATTTTTACACTTATTTTTTTTCTTTCTACAACCATGTTTATATAGTGGCCCATATTATATATATATATATATATATATATATTTGTTTTTGTTATGTGCAATTTTCTTTTAACCAAATATGTTCTAAAATGGTTCAAATAGCTCTTTGAAGCACATAGAGTAATAAAACCTACAGAACAACTCATGCTTTTTATGGTTCATCTTAAAAGATACTTTTATTTTCAATACACATTAAATTAAAAGGTATGATGCAGCCGTACTGTAGAAACCCCCTTTTATGTATTACTTCAAGGTTTAAACACTACAGTCTCTGATTTTACTGTGAAGAAAATATTTGTTGTGGATTTAATATATTTAGATTAATATTTTCCAATTTTCAGACTAAAATGGAAATTTGCAATTCTTAAAGTTAATACATTTTTGTTTCCAAATTCAAAAAAACCTTAGACTCATTTGTCTAATTATCTTCACTTCTGTAATTTTTACTGACATGTAGAATATCGACATCTGGAAATATATTTGATTGCCTAGTGGTCAGAGCTCATCGGTTTATTGGAGAATCCATCATAGATTCTCAGGAGCACAGGAACTGGCAGTTTTTTAACTACAGCTCTTGCATTTCTATGTTCTTATGTCTTGTGGTACAGTGCTCCACCAAGCTGGAAAAATGCACAGATCATCACCTACGTTCTCCTGGTGAACATTTTGGACTCATTCTATTGATGACAATGTTCTCAGTGAAAGTTGTGTGAAAACTCACTCCCTTTAGAGGACACAAACTCACTCAGGTCTTTTAGCAGCTTTTATTTAGTTTTCTTTTAAAGTTATAAGGTGGGTTTGCTTTAAAAAAAAAAAAAAAAAAAAACTCCAGTCATCTGTGGGCCAGTCTTGTCATTGAGGAATTTCTTTGACAGGATTGCCTTATTTTCCCCCCATTTTAAATTAAACTCTTTATTCTTTCTAAATCTAATGTTTGTTTGTTTTTCGTCTAAGGATCTCTAAAGTTTAGATATCCAAACATTTTCTTTTCGATAAAATAACAGTAGAGAAAAAATGTTGATAGTCAAACCCAAATAAAAGACAACAACATAAACTGTAAAAAAAAAAAAGAAAGAAAGAAATACAGACTAAAAGAAAAAAAAAAAAAAGAAAAAAGAAAAACTGATGCCAAATTTTATCTGTCATTTAAACAGAGAGAGGTATCCTCAGGGAGAGTTCAAACCAAAACATAAAACTTGAAAAGTTTTTTAAAAATGAGTTAAATAATAATCCCTTCAAGTAATTAACATAGAATTAGACTTCAATAGAATTCAACTTTATTGTCATTACACTGTTACAAGTACAAAGTAACGGAATTAACTCTCTGCATTTAAGCCATCCCCTGGGGAAATGTGGGCTGCCATTGTGTGGCTCCAGGGAAACAGTATGAGGTTAAGGGTCTTGCTCAGGGACCCAGAGTGGCAGTCTGTGGGAGTGGGGCTTGCACTCAAATCCTCTGGAACCCAAGCGTAATGCCCTAACCACTAGGCCCCCACTCCTCTATATAAACATAACCTACCTAGCACACATTTAAAAAGCAGACAACTGAAATGCAGAGGGTTTAAATTACTACAATCAACTTACAAATGTATCAATCATGTGACAAAATGGCCCTGAAGTGCTTTCATCCATAGTCAATAAATGGGGCACTGCTATATAACTTCTCGGAGGCAGGGCCCAATTACTATACGGGATCCTAAAGTAAGTAAGAGCAGGACATGAGACGTCACATAAGTCATACCTACTGATAATGCAAACCTTAAAGTAATCTTTTTTTACCAATATAGAGGAATACATCCATTCATGCACCTAAAACAGTTTTATCTAGTATAGTTGTAGCTCATCTCTTTGACAAAGGAACATTTGAAAAAAAAAAAAAAACTTTTGCTCTACTAGTTACTGCATGAATTCAAGGGTTACTGAATTCAGGGGTTACTGATATTTGTGTGTTGAGTTAAAAATATATGTTAGGAGACAGAATTATGTATTTCATTAATTACTGGCTTTCTAATTTGAAACCTGTAAAGACATCAGTTTTCACCATGATTGCAACGTAACATAATAATCCACACATGCCAGGTCTCGCGCTACTTATCTGATCCAAATGACGTAACAACTAATGTCAAAAAGAAAAATTATCTTAGGTAATCTGAACTAAAAAACATTTGTGATATTTTATAAATATCCAACTTAATTTTATTGTTTTTTTTTTTAAGTAATCTTTATTTATAAAGCTCTTTTCAGTGTTTTCTTTTTTTGGTTAAAAATTTTGATCCAGCTCTGAATTAGAAAAAGTGATACGGTATGTTTTTAAAGTTATTGTTTATCTGGTTTTTAACTGGTCCTTATTCAATTTTATGAAGCTGCTAGAAAACTAGCATTTACCATCAGTGCGACAGTCCACAAGCTCATCTGAAATATTGTTATCCTGTACAAGAGCCAAGAATTTAAGAATAGACTAGATGTTACACATATTATTGGAAGAAATATAGAGAACTCTGGAAGTGTCTGTAAAATGTCCCCAGAAAAGCACAGAGGGATTACAGAAAATACTGATCAAGATAACGTCATATATACAAACTGGAAGAAAAACAAATGTCTGTGACGGTAAATATTTAAAACATAAACAATATTATCTGTAAGAGGCAGATAACATATTGCGTTACATACTCCCATCTCTATGAAATAAAAGGAAAAAAAAGAATGTTATAAAGTTCTAAGATAAATTTTAAAATACATAAATGTCCACATGTCTTTTAATTACTTCTAAGGATTAAAGAGATTTAAAGATTCTTCTTTGGAACCAGGGACTTGCTGTTGTTCCGGGCACTGAGGAACTGGACGGACAGGTTTTTCAACCTCATCAGCTGCAGGTCGTATTTTTTCAAAGTGCTCAGCTGATGTAAATCTGTTGGCAGTTGCAACATGCAGCTCGCTGCTTCTTAAAATCCTCCGCTCTACATAGCGCATGGTGCAATGTTTCCA